ATACCCGAGCATAATTACGTACATCAATGCCCAGCATACCCGGGTATGTCATACAATTTATATGGCCATTTCATCTTTTTATAAATTTCTAGTGTATAATTTAGATAAATTATTAAAACTAATTTAATAAAACGCCTGTGCAAACAGTTTTTTATTACATACCATTAAATTTTAGCCATCTCTTTAAGTTTTCTCATTGTTTTACTATGAACAAAAATATCATGTGCAAAAAAGTAAGAAAGTATAGTCGGGCGTAACCGACCATATGATACCCTACACCAGTTATGGATATTAAATGTGATTTATTTTTCATAATAAAGCATTTATCTTCTATTACCTTGTTCCGATACATTTAAGCAATTTATGGATGAAAAACTAATTTTCTGAAAGAGGCTTTATATGGGGGCTAGGGATAAATATGGACCAAGCCCGATAAAATTTTGTAAATATATTTATATTTACAAAATATTTTATTGTGCTGAATTTCATCGCGATATTTGTTAATTTTGGTCATTCAAGTAATTTTCTGAAGGGGACTTTGTATGGGAGCTAGGGTCAAATGAGGCCCGATCACTATGAAATTTGACAAGGTCATCAAGGCTTGTATAAAACTTAGTTGTGCCGCTTTTTATCAATATACAGGCATATTTAACATAATTATAAGCTCAGAAGCCCTTTTCGGGGGGTTCTGTTGGACCGAAAAAAGAGAGTGTTCATTCAATTATCTTGAAAATTGCGACCTGTACCTTGCGCACAAGGTTTACATGGACAGCCATACGGACGGACGGACAGACGGACATAGCTTAATCGACTCAGAAAACGATTCTAAACCGATTGGTATACTTTATGGTGGGTATAGGACGAATAATTTTGTATGTTACAAACATCAGCCCTTTATTAGAATAATATTATTAACCCTTTATTTCCTGGCGTTGCCATATGGCAACGCATCGAATACTAACTTTAAATGGGCATTAAAAATATATTTATTATTTTAAAATATATGTATTTTTTTAGTCTTTATTCATGTGTTGCCATATGGCAACGCTAGGCACTACACTGTGTTTTGTTTTTAATATGAAATAAAATTTTAAATATGCACGACATCCACTTAAAATATGTAATTTCATTTGAATGTTATTATAACCTTAATAAACAAAAGTAAAAATCCAAATTTTATTACGAGATTCTTAAGAAGTTAGCGGCCCGTCCTTGCTCTTGCGGGAAGAGGATAATTTTTTTGAAAATAGCTATTAGTTATTTAATGTACCTAGATACGAAATTAATATCAAAATAAATTACTTTCTTAAATTCAACGAAAAATTATTACCCGGTCATAGAGGGTTCAAAAGCACTACGCGAGATATTATACATACATATGTCAGAAAAACTATATCAGAAATTACCCTTAGGGTACACGAGTTGAAAAATGTCATTTTGCGAAATATTATGAATTTCTTAATAAGATATTTGCACTTTTTAGTATAGATATGTACTTTAATATATCATAAGAAATCTAATTTATACAGATCTGAAGATATTATTGATTCGTTAGATATCATCAAAGTTATTTATTCGTCATAATTAATAACAAATTTCTTCATATAATGGTTGGAATTTGTTTAAATAGTTAATTTTTTATTGAATTAAATGACAACTTTTTACTAATATCTTGATTGTCTGAAATTGTAAATCTCCATTTTGTATACATAATATATGTATGTTTAACATTTCCTAACATTTGTTTAACAATCTTAGGTCTGTTTTCATATGCACAAACGGAAAATAATGTTTAGAATTATCTATCCAAAATTTTTAAAGATCACAATAAAAAATCATAGAAAACATACAATTTTGTACTAAAAATTAGATTTTTTTGAAAACGGATAACCCGGTTAACCGAAAACTAATGTTTAAAAACCGGTTTTTCGGTTAACCGGTTATAAACACTACCTTTCGGGCTTTATAAGCTGCAAATTACACATAACGCGTCATTTCGATCGTTATGTTCTCAAAATCCACTATGTTAGGTATTTTTTGACATAAGTCTGCAACGCGTTCCCGCGTACAACTCGATGCTTTGCGATGCGCGATACCTTACGCCAACCTCCATTTAGCTATCTAAAATTTAGCAAACTGTTTATTTTTCCAACAAAATTTCCAAGAATATTTTTTATTTCACAAATACAAAATAAGTATTTGAAACATTTCAAATAAAATATTAAATATTATTTGAGGAAAAAATATTTTAATTCAAAATAAAATACATATTTTCTTTTTATACCCTACACCACTTTAGTGGGGAGGGTATATTGGATTTGTGCTGATGTTTGTAACATACAAAAATATTCGTCCTAGACCCACCTTAAAGTATACCAATCGGCTTAGAATCGTTTTCTGTGTCGATTAAGCTATGTCCGTCCGTCCGTCTGGCTGGCTGGCTGGCTGTCCATGTAAACCTTGTGCGCAAGCTACAGGTCGCAATTTTCAAGATAATTGGATGAAATTTGGCACGCACGTTTTATTTGACCCAAGGACGAAGCCTATTGAAAATGGTTAAAATCGGTCCATTATTTCACCTAGCCCCCATAGAACAGAACCCCCCGAAAAGGGCTTCTGAGCTCATAATTATGTTAAATATACAGATATATCGATAAACAACTAAGTTTTATAGAAGTCTTGATAACCCTGCCAAATTTCATAAAGATCGGGCCCCATTTGACCCTAGCTCCCATACAAAGTCCCCTTCAGAAAATTACTTGAATGTCCCAAATTAACTTATAAACACAAATATCCCGATGAAATTCACCACAATAAAATATTATGTAAATATAAATATATTCGCAAAATTTTATCGGGCTTGGTCCATATTTGCCCCTAGCCCCCATATAAAGCCTCTTTCAGAAAATTAGTTTTTCATCAATAAATTGCTTAAATGTATCGGAACAAGGGAATATTGATGATAAATGTTTTATTATGAAAAATAAATCACATTTAATATTCATAACTGGTGTAGGGTATCATATGGTCGGCCACGCCCGACTATACTTTCTTACTTGTTTTATTTTAATTTTAAACAAATTTATTTGAAATAAGTCACAACTCTGTTTATTTGCAAAAAAAAAAAAGATTGTTAAATCATGGTCAAAAATTAAAATTTGAAAATTCAAACTTTAATATTTTTGGTTATATAAGAATAAAATTATTATAATAAGCATAATTTTACTTAACTAAGTCATATACAATGAAAATTTTTAATTCATCAAAATCGGTCCATATTTGTAAATGTTACAGGGTCCTAAAGATATTTCACATTCAAATTTATGAACAATGACACATTTTACTCTGTATTTTAAACAAAATTTGTTGTTTAGTTCAATTTTTTTCATAATGTACAAGAATATATATAATTCTACTAATAAAACTGAAAATTTATAACGATACTTAATTTTTGTCCGAGAACAATAACTTTTTTCATTGAACACAGCTAGAAGAAGAAGTTGTGTCAAAAAAATTTAATTGAAATTACAAAAATATTAAATTTTTTGTTTAATTAATAAATAAATCATCAACTTGGCCATTATTATAAATTGCCAATAGCTAAAGTTAGGAAGTTATCGTACAGATAATGTGTTTTTCGTTATTGCAAGTCAATTTTAAGCTAAAAGTGTCCGATAGGCTAACGGGAAGATTACCTTACCTTTAACTTTTAACGTAAGCTATAAGAATTTTTGTAAAAATATGAAGTAAAAATAAATTCAATGTAATTTTTTATATGAAAAATATTATTAACGGCTAAAAGTATGCTATGGTTTTTGTATATTCCTCCTCTTTATTCCTCACTTTAATTAAAGTTACCTTTCACTATTACGAACATTAAAGGCAAGTTGTAATAATTAGGCCCTTAGTGTAATTTAAGTTAATTTCTAAATTCTTTTAAATAAATCATTTAGATGGAAAAACATTTCATAGCAGAAAACATGATAATTTAATATGTAAACGGTTGTGTTTAAACTCATTGTGTTTTGGAAAAAAACACGATAAAAATATCAGCTTAATTACAATTTGGACCGCTGTCGACAAACCACACAAAAAGACCGAACGACGAATTAAAATTAAGCGACTGTCTACAGACCACAAAAAATCAATGCAAAATTAGGTTTTGTTTAAAATTATAATTATTTTTTAAGAAATAAATAGGAATGATTAAAAAATTATTCAGAATAAAATACGGGAACAGATATAATATGTTTTCTCATTTTAATTTATTTCATTTAATATCTTCCATTAATAATAAAACATGGCGAGAAATGCGCATTATAACAACCCTGTTTTTGCAATTTTGCATTATTTTTAGGAAAATATTATGAAAATATGGCAACGCTATAACATAAAAATAAGTACACAATGAGAGGATCGATAGAAAGCGCAATAAAAGTAGAATAGAATCTATATCAACCGCAATATCGCCAAGTACAAGACGATATTTTGCTCTCCACAGTGCCGGTTCACACAATAAAACTTTTTTTGAGAAACTTTTAATTTTTGTGTATGAGAGAAAAAGAAAGATATAGCAACCACACAAAATCAAAAGTTTTACAAAATGTATGAAAACTCATTGTCGACAGCGGTTGTGGTTCCAATTGTAATTAAGCTGTATGACTACGAGAACTTAGTGTTAATTTATATCAAAACGGGTTATATTTCCAAAGCATTTCAGAAAACTTCAAATATTTTTAGCGTGCCTAAAATAATATAGATTCATACATTCTGAAATTGTCTTCAAATTATTAAATTTAGAGTTTATTCCTTAATTACAACAAAATTTGACGAAGTAAAAAACGTATGGGATTTTTTTGAGTGTAGAAAAAATTTTTTCAATCAAACATAAGATAGTATCAGAATAAAATCCCGCTTTTCGCAATTCGGCTTAGGTTTAAAAACATGTGGTCATGTACACGTATGTACGGAAAACTTAATATTAAAAATAATTTTATTACCTCCATTTCTCGTTTAATTGTACGTATGATTTAAAAATTCATGTTTTAATTCTTTTCTGTTCTCACAATATTTAATTTGAAAGCGTCCGGTTTTTTCGTATGAAAGTAAAAACGTTTGTGAGCTAAAATATTTGAATTAATGTTCTTATATAATGTAAGTTTTAATTATATTTTTAGAATATATCTATATTTAACTACTTTATTTTTCGTACTGTTATCTATCATAACGACATGATAAGCAAAACCAATAAGAGAGCGTTTAATACTTTTTAGATGTTTTTAATATACATATGTAGATATGCATGTACATATGCATGTTTAAAAATCTCAAATTTCAAATACCGTTTGACACAAAATGATGTGTCCAATATAACATTCTGACTTACCAAGTAAAGATTTTGCTGGGCACTTATTAAAGATTACTCAAACCCTCAAATGTGTTACATTTTTAACGATTTAAAAATAACAATTGTCCAATTCATAACCATCTTGTATCAATGTATGTATCTTGTGTATTTTCGCTTTACACAGGTTTAAAAATTAATTGTCCAATTCACAACTGGTCATGCATTTTGAATCGTGGGTTCAGACAGCTCTTATTAAATCCGAGGAAATAAAGGTTTAAAGGTCAAATATTGTTAGATATAGAAAAAGTTACCCAAATAATTTTACTTAAATGGACACGGAAAATGTGTGCTGGAATTATTCAAAATCATATTTTTTTGAAAGGCATGGAATAATAAATACGGCGCTACATACAGAAAAAGTTGTGTAGAATTTTTGGTGGATAATTTTCTAAAAGTCTGAACAATTTCTATTAATTTAAACTTTTCTAATTATTTTAGGACATTTAATACGATCGATATTTGCTCATTTCGATCAAAATTGTATATCGAAGTCATCCAAAATTTACGTGAAAATTCATTGCATTTAATTTATAAAAAAGTTCACTCTAAACAGAACTAATTAAATTAAAACTGTTCCCTTAATTTTGTTGTACAATCAATCAAATAATTATCTTTAAATTCTAATTTTATTACATTTTAATAAAATGATTTTATATCAAAAACACTTTTCCAAAAAAATTAAAAAAGGCAATGTTGAATTTATTACAAAAGATTGTTTAAATAATTTGATAATAATTTCAAAAAATTAATTCATTGTCACGATTAATTAATAAAATATATAAAATAAAAATCATCCATTCTCTTCACCATGATGTGTTCAAAACAGGGACAGAAAATATTGATTATTCTTAAAATTTAAAACAAAAAAATCAAATACAAGGATTAAGAGTAAAAGTTAATTGAATATGTCATTAAGTTTTATTTAAAAAACTTAATTTTAATTATTATTCTTTGAGTTTTATATATTACTCAGAAAATAATTTTTCTTAAGTTTTTTTTTTGTTCAATAACGATTATTTTTGATTTTTATAATTTTCATTGAAAAATAAAAATCAACTTTAAGTTTAATTTTTTACTTGAAAAATAAAAATTATTCTTGAGGTTTATTTTATTTTTTTCAAAAATAAAACTCAATATGAAAAAATGTTCTTTTATAAAATGTTTAGAGAAATGACTTTTTATAATATTAAATGTAGTTTTTAAGCTTTTCTTAAGAAATTTTCAAAAAAAGGAAAGTATGCATTTTAACTCTTCACTATCTGAAACGCATAGCTATGATAATATTGATATTTATAAAATTTGCAATATGGAATATGTGCATCCAATATAAGGTTTAGTTTCCAATTCGGATTTTTATGTCTATGTCAAAGTTTTTTCGGAGTGCATAAACACTCAGTTATGGATATATTTTTTCTTTTTACGGGTATATTGTGGTAAACTGATTTTGTCATTTCGTTTGTAACTCATCGTAGTCGTTGACTCACATAAGTTCATACATACATATATTTTGGATCCTTATAATATCACGTAAATTTCCAACTTTTCTACGCTGACACAGGGTCTCGACCGAGAACATGTATCTTATGTGACAAGAATTTATGTTTTCTCCTCTCAACAGGATTATCCACATCGGATGCAACGGTACTGAAGCAAGGTCGTGGCAACATATACCTTGCATCTGTTTACCTGCCCTTCGATTCTCCGACACTACCACCAACGTCGGATCTGATGAAACTGGTCGAAGAGGCACAAAGGCAAAATAAGAAAATTGTAAAACATGGTGGGAGTTGGCATCATTCCCACCATGTAGCTTGGGGTAGTACAAACACCAATCGCAGGGGACAAGCCCTTATGGATTTCCTTAATACTAAAGACTTGATAACATTGAACTTAGGTAATAAAGCTACCTTCGTCAATAGAATCAGAGAAGAAGTATTAGATATAACTATATGTTCAGAAGAGCTTATAAACGAAATTCAGGATTGGAGAGTTTCGGACGAGCACTCCTTTTCTGACCATCGGTACATAAGATTCAAAATACTACGGCCGCCACCAAAGCCGATAAAGTTTCGGAATAAGTCTAAAACTAATTGGACAATGTTCGGTTCCTTACTAAAGAACCGTTTATGTCAGAACACTTTTCAATGTCGAAATAAAGAGGACTTAGACGCCAAAGTAGAAATGCTCACAAGTACCTTGGTTGAATCGTTCGAGGACAACTGTCCTCTGCGAGAGCGGAGATCTGCCCAGGAGAAACCCTGGGTAACCGGGGAGATTCGGAACCTTGGTAATACTCTTTTAAACTGTTTAACCGGGCACGGCGTAAAAAGACCGCAGTATACTGGGATGAGTATCGTAGTAAACTTGGTGAAAAAAATTGTTGTATTGGTATTTTTTACCTTTTTTGTTCGTAAAGCCAAACGAGACTCCTGGAAACTTTTCTGTGAACAGGTAGACAGCGTAAATGACGTATCGAAGATAAAAAATTCCTATCCAAAACTCATGTCCAACCGGAATCTATGGTCGATGATACGGGCAGGAGGCTGGAGGAGACAATGAAACTCCTAATGGACTCTCATTTTCCACCCGGTATATCGAATAACATAGATGAATCGATATTGGAGGAAGGGGAGGCTAACACGGAAATTGTAATTATATCTGATATGGTTAAAGGGACAATCAAGAGCTTAGCTCCCTATAAAGCTGCAGGGCCGGATGGCATTTTGCCGGCACTCTTACAGATGGAGGCGAGACTGGTTTCCGTACATCTGTCTCAGATATTCACTGCATTCACATATACCCCAATAAATGGCAGGATGCAAGGGTAATATTTATACCTAAACCAGGGAAACCTAGCTATTCGACACCTAAGTCTTATCGACCGATAAGTCTTACGTCCTTCCTACTTAAAACTTTGGATCGGATAGTTGATATTATGGTGAAAAGCAGTATACCCGACAAAGACCTAAAATTTAAGCAGCATGCTTATGTAAAGGGACAATCGGTGGAAACCGTTTTAAACGAAGTTGTCCACTACATAGGTACATCCTTTGATAGCAAACTGTATACACTGGCGGTATGTGTCGTCATCAATAACGTGCACACTGATACTCTTATCTAATCCTTAGACCAGTTTTATGTTGACCGGGTGCTCCGTAACTGGATCAACCACATGCTAAGAACAGATGGATAAGCTGCGGTATACCACAGAGTGGCATTTTGTCACCTTTACTCTGGGTTACAACGATTAATAGCCTCCTAAGGACCCTAACCGACCGTCTGCTATGCAGACGATGTCGTAATACTTTTAAAGGGAGAGGATCCAAATTACTTGTGTAGAAGAGCTGAGGAGGCTCTGAATACGGCCTTGAGCTGGGCTCAACCGAGAGGCCTCAATGTTAACCCGGCGAAGACGGAAATCTGTCTTTTCACAAGAAAGACACAAATTTCTACATATACTGAACCTTTCTTCCTGGGCAAGAAGATACCAGTGACAGACAAAGTTAAGTACTTAGGTGTAATACTTGACCGGAAATTAAAATGGAGACACCACATAGAGGATAGGATCAACAAGGCACATCGGTGCGGGGCGATATGTAGGAGAACTATAGGCATGAAATGGGGTCTTAGTCCTACTATGACAAATTGGCTTTATAAAAGTGTAATTAGACCAATTCTAGCTTATGCTTCAATAATCTGGTGGACTGCTTTAGACAAAAAGTGCAATATCGAACTACTACAGGGAGTTCAGCGTACATGCTGCTTGGGTAAAAATTATATGTTTAATTGAATAGATCTAATGACTGCAGCTAATTGCAGTTATCTAATTATAACCCTTGCATAGGAAATTTTCTATAGAAACATATATATGAAAATTGGCTGCGATCTTTTGCAATCTTCAGAGATATTCAAAATAATTAGAGTGTCCTATAGAATTTAATGTTTTTTTTTTTTTTTAATTAAGTGTAAACTCACGTTAGGGGTATACATAAATTTTGGCCTTGGCACCATGTATTAGCCTACAGTTAGTGCTCTTAAAAAAAATTACTTAAGCCAATCAGGTGTCATAGCTTTATTTAAAAAGTAAAATTTTCTGTTTATTTCCAGATTTAAATTCATAGATTATAAATTTATTGTGTTCTTTGTAAAAACCGCGGAATTTATATTTTATTTTAAATTTTAATTAGAGTATAAATTGTTTGTTAATGTTGCATTCAATTATTTGCAAATATTTGTACAATTTGATAAAAATTTCTAAGAGTGCCAACCCTAATATTCATTAGGGTGGCATGTTTTTAAAAATTATAGAAGAGCATTTGAGACAAATCGGATAATACTAACCCGTTTAAAACAGTATCTAAACGGTGAAAATGTGTTTAAATAGGAAAATGGGTTTTATTAACTTTTTGCAGAGACTGTGCTACAAATATTTATATTTTGCATTTTCTTATAAATAAATAGCAGTCTGTATAAAATTGTCTTTCTAAAAATATATAAAAATTCAAAATCGATTGCAAAAGTTTTGAGATATATGCGACCAAAAATTTAATTTTTATTCAATGTATACTTGTAAAAAATGGGCGTGGCAGCAGTCTTATCGTGTTGATTATTATGTGGAGCGTTTGGCCAATTGTTTGCTAACTGTAACTAAAATTAGAACTCAATATCAGTAAGATTTGATTAATGTCGTT